GGGAGATCGAGCTTTACGACTCCTTTAGCCACCTTTCATCGTCGAAGGCGTGTAATGACCGAGAGCTTATGCTGACCCCTCTCCGACGACTGCTTCCCACACTCCTTCACCGGTTCGGTTACTTTGGTGCTTTGAATATTCCACCTAAGTTAGATGCCTTATCGATTAAGAGAATGCCGAGTGAAGTCCAGTTTGTTCAAGAGGATACTCGTAATTGTGGTGTATTTGCTTGCATGTACGTTGAACGCATGCTTGGCGAGGACATTCCCCGGGAGCCAGACATAAGTTTATATAGAAAGAAAATGGCATTAGCAATTTATGCTCATAGTATTCCCGTGTCGAATTAGTGTAATTTTTTTGGGGCTTTTGTTGTGTAATGCTATTGCTAATTGTAGTGTATTTGGTACTTTGACAATTGTGGTCTATTTGGTATTATTTGGTATTTTGGTCTATTGCAAATTGTACCTCTGTTTTTCTCCGCTACTCGCGAAAAAATCCCACGAGTCGCGACCCTGGGAAGCTTGTATAGCCTTTACAATTCTGTTCTTCACCGCGACTCGCGAGTTTCTCCGCGAGTCGCGATTATTAGAATTTTTTTTATTTTTTTATTTTGTTTTAAACTGAAAATAGAACAACAAAATTACATTCCAAGCAAATTGATCAATCCCTAAATATGGTTATGCTTGCACTCAAATAAATGATTATTAATCCTTTACATACAACAACACCCAAATAACGTTAAATCTGCAATTGCATAAAGAAGATTACCGAGGTGGGAAATGTAGCCAGAAACTTCTCATATATTGGCACTGCATCTGAAATAGACATTCGTTGAAATAACAAACCACCCAAGTTTTTTTTTTCGAAACGATAGATTTATTTATAAACCACAAAAATTTACAAAAGTATGTAAAACAAAGATGCAAAAGTATTTTACGGACAAACAATTTCAAATAATTATTTAAGAATAGCAGAATCAATGTTATTAATAAAACAAACAAATTTTGAACAAAATCGATTTTTGAAATTACTCAAATGAATAAAACAAATAAAATTTGAACCAAAAATGATTTTTGAAATTACTCAAATGGTTTATACGATTCAAAAACTGTTTTTGGGATGTATCTACTGTTTTTGGGATCCAATAAACAATGTTGGGGATTCAAAATAGGTTTTTGGGACTAGAAATCGATTTCTGGGTCCCGAAGAAATCGATTTCATGGATTTCTGGACCAGAAATCATTTCAGGGATTTCTGAACTAGAAATCGATTCAGGGATTTCTGAACTAGTAATCAATTTCTGGGTCCAGAAATGACATAATCCAGAAATCGATTTTTGACACAGAAATCTGATTTCTGGGGGCTAAAAACCAATTTCTGGGAACAGAAATCGATTTCTGGGAACAAAAATTGTTTCTGAGTATAGAAATCAATTTCTGGATAATCTCGTTTCTAGTCCCAGAAATCGATTTTTGGACCCAGAAATCAATTTCTGGACCTAGAAATCGATATCTGACCTAGAAATCAAATTAATAACATGAATATTGCAAAAAAATAAAAATTAATTTCTTGGAACATTTAATGATTTTTGGACTAGGAATCGATTTCTGGGTCAGAAATCAATTTCTGGACCTAGAAATCAATTTCTTACCCAGAAATAGAAATCGATTTCTTACCCAGAAATCTGATTTCTGACCCAGAAATCGGTTTCTTACCTAGAATTAGAAATCGATTTCTTACCCAGAAATCAGATTATCGGTTTCTTACCTAGAAATAGAAATCGATTTCTTACCCAAAAATTTCTGGGTAAGAAATCGATTTCTATTTCTAGGTAAGAAACCGATTTCTGGGTCAGAAATCAATTTCTGGGCTTAGAAATCCATTTCTTACCCAGAAATAGAAATCGATTTCTTACCCAAAAATCAATTTCTGACCCAGAAATCTGATTTCTGGGGCTAAAAATCAATTTCTGGGAACAGAAATCGATTTCTGGGTAAGAGAGAAGAGAGAGATTATTTTTTAAAAAAAAATGGTAGTAAGGGTATTTTTGACATTTTAAGTGCCAAAATGGCTAAAAAAGAGGTTTTTTTAAATATGTGGCTAAAATTTGTGTTTTACAAATCTAAATGGCTAAAAAAAAAAATCACTGTATTATTTCTTATATTTAATATTTTTTTAAACCTTTATCTTGTTCTTTCACATGTTCCTAACTGTAGATTTGTCAAAAAAGACATAATATAAAATATAGAATTTTTTCGATCATCTGCCTCATTATATATCAAATATTTGTATATCCTATATTATATTATATTTAATTATAATGTTTTAATTAATATTTTAATTAAATATTTACAATTCATAAATTCATTAATAATTTTGTCGAGTCAGCTGTCTTTCATAAAATTTTTAAAAATATATTATTTCCATTGATTTGCTTATGTTGAATTGAGAAAAGTTATGTTTTTAATTACATAGATAAAAAGGAATTGGTATTTATTTGGTACTACTTCTGCTGAGGTTCGACTTCGAGTGAAATTGACTCACACCTGCCTAAAACCCTCCCATCACTTCCCCAACACAGCAACACTGACTCTGACCCTCCATTTTTGCTTTTCTTCGCATTTCGATAGAAACAAGAGAGAATCAATAGACACACTGTCTGCAAATACCTCGCCGATTTCTCCAAACACACTCTCCATTTATACCTGAGAAACAAGAGAGAATCAATAGACACACTGTCTGCAAATACCTCGCCGATTTCTCCAAACACACTCTCCATTTATACCTCGTCCGCCCTCCTACTTGCTTCTCACTATCTGTATCCACTCATCTCTCTCTCTCTCTCTCTCTCTCTCTCTCTCTCTCTCTCCTTCGATTAAGTTTTCTGAGGCGATGGCGCATTTGGTGGCGACGCGGCTGATTCACGGTTCGTTCGCCGCGAGTCCTGCCTCCGGCGCTACGGAGAACCTTTCCGAGAAGCTGAGTCCGAGTTACGGCTCCACGGCCAAGGTCTTGGCTCAGGCTGAGAGGAGGTGCCGCCTCCGCCGTGAGGTGGTTCCTGTCAGCGCTCCGATTACGGCGGCAAGATCTGCGCGTGTGGAGGCGGAAGTGATCCCGGTGTCTACTGACGACGTTTCGAAGGTACCCCATCTCTTTGCCAATGAGCGTCTCTTCTTTTTTTAATTATTTTTATTTTTTATAGTTTTGTGATTTTTCTAGAACGCAAATCTGTTAAAGGATGAAAAAAAGCTTACTTCTTGGTTCATTAATCTTGTTTATCCGGACCTGGAGTTATTCATATTGACTTTAATATTTGGAGGTGCAGCAACGGTAATCTTGTTTATTGCTTATCAGTTCAATTGTTCTAGTACAGCTTGTCCAGCTGCATTTGTTTATAGTTTTCCCTTTTTGTGTGGTGGTGTCAAATTATCTATCTTGATATCTTGTGTTGTTCAACGTAGTTTTTCTGAGAATGTGTTGTTTACAATATAGTAGATTCTAATTAGAATGAAGAAAACTTTCTTGCTAGTTCATTGGGCTTCTTAAATTCGTGTGGTTGAAGCTTTGAGATGAACGCATAGTGTGGTTTATATAAAGACGGCCACGACTTAATCATTTTATTTCTTAAATGTTTTCTTTTAGATGTCATCTGTTTCAATTATGCTCCATGTGTGGTAATATAATGCTTCTCACTTTTAGAAGTATTTATTTTCTTTTCTAGTATAGGCTAGGATTCTTTATCCTCATATTCCTGAGGCTTTTGAATTTTTAAATCAAGCTTTCAGCAAAAGAATTTTTAATTACCTTTGAAGTCTGTTATCAATATATCTTTTGTCCGTGGAACAGGTTGCCGAGCGGAATCAGTATCTGCAAGGAATTCCACAACTTGGTAACACATCTGAGGATATGCTGACCAAGCCTAATGTGAGGCGCAAGACAAAGATTGTTTGCACCATTGGCCCTTCTACCAACACTAGGGAGATGATATGGAAGCTTGCAGAGGCTGGGATGAATGTTGCTCGTCTTAATATGTCTCACGGAGATCATGCATCACACCAAAAGGTCATTGATTTGGTAAAGGAGTATAATGCCCAAGCAAAAGACAATGTTATCGCCATCATGCTCGACACCAAGGCAAGTATATTTTCTGTTTGGGTTTCAAACTGTTGTTTACTGACGTGTACATCAGTTAGTTTGGGTATTGCTCTACAGCATCATTTAGTTAATATGTTACAGTTTGTTTCCATTGGTAAAGTTGAATTAAGGCTTGTAATTTTTCCAAAAAAAAGGAGCAGAAAGGAAAAAGTAATGGTTAAACTTGAAAAACGCAGAAATCACCTTTGAGGTTTTGTTCTGTCTACTTTTTGCCCCTACTTTTAGTGGAAGGGACAAAGTTTGGTAGAATCTTTAATGAGTTTACTAGGACACGCCACAACTTCTTAAAGTATTACAATTAACCCCAAAAGTGGGGAGGAATAAGTGTAAATATACTTTATGGCATTAGCGGCTTCTAACGATTTGTGTTTATATGTAATATTTAGAAAAAAGTTGAATGATGTTACAAGTAATATATTTTATGACATTATCAACTTATGTTAGCTCATTAATTTAAGTGGTAGGTGAAAAAAAAAAAAAAAACAGAATTAACTTCCGGTTTGTTTTTTTTTTTTTTGTTTTTTCCTTCTATACTAGAGTTAGTTAGTTGGGTTCTTTGTGATTTGGACAAACTTAATAACGGTACATTTGTAATATCTCAAATTTTGTTGCCATTACTTGATCGAACACTTCCTTCTATAGGTGCTCTATCGATGCTTAGCATAGATGATGAAGATCTGGCAATTGTATAGGTAAAGAAGTATATAGAGAAGTGCAGTTTTATGAAAATGTCTATTTTTTGTATGTATCATGTCCACAACAACAACAACAACAACATCGCCTTTAGTCGCAAACAAGTTGGGGTAGGCTAGAGATGAAACCCAAGAGAACCATCTCATGTGTTTCATCTCCATAGAACGGCTAAGTTTTACGTTGGCTCGCCAAGCCTATCACAACCCACCTCCTTTACCAGGGCTTGGGACCTGCTATGTTGGGACAACATAGGCGGAGTTTGTATGTATCATGTCCAATATAGTTTATTGGAATATCGTATGGGATATAATACGGATATGTAGGGATCTGTTTGCTGATTCAAATGCATTTATTCTGAACTCAACAACCTCTGCTGGCAGGGTCCTGAGGTTAGGAGTGGTGACTTACCTCAACCAATCATATTGGAACCTGGTCAAGAATTTACTTTTACAATCCAAAGAGGAGTTGGCACATCAGACTGTGTTAGTGTCAACTATGATGATTTTGTTAGTGACGTGGAAGTTGGGGACATGCTCCTTGTTGATGGTACATTACTAGCAGTTTTCATTTGATTATGATTGCTGTGAAATTTTCTTTACTTTTTATCCAAAACAAAATTGAATAAAGAACATTGGATTTCTACAGTCATTTCATCCCCCTACCCAACATAATTTGAATTTACCAAAGTAAGTGTTCATGTGTACTTTTGTAATTATTCATCTGCATGTATTAACTCGACGAGAGAATTGCCTTTGACTGCTGCTTGACGGTGTTGCAGGTGGCATGATGTCATTAACTGTAAAATCAAAGACTGCAGATTCTGTAAAATGTGAAGTTGTTGATGGAGGAGAGCTTAAATCTCGGAGACATCTCAATGTTCGTGGGAAAAGCGCGACACTTCCATCCATCACTGGTCAGTCTAGAAATCGCACTATTAAATGAGGCAGCCTTTTTTCCCAATTTTCAACAAGAATGCACTTATGATTCATGCTTGTCAAATTTCTTCCTTTTACACACAACAGAGAAGGACTGGGATGACATAAAATTTGGTGTGGACAACAAAGTTGACTTCTATGCTGTTTCCTTTGTCAAGGATGCCGCAGTTGTTCATGAGCTAAAGAATTATCTGAAAGGTAAATTTCAAGATCTTGGCTATTTAATTTAAAAGCACTGGCTATGAATTGATTGTGTTTCTGACATTAAAAGTATTTATATTTTTCTTCAGATGCTGGTGCCGACATCCATGTCATTGTAAAAATTGAAAGTGCGGATTCGATACCGAATCTGCATTCCATAATTACTGCGTCTGATGGGGTAAGTACATAAATGTTAGAAGTCGGAACTTTTTGAAGAGAATTGGACACTGCTTGAAAACATTGTCCGTAAGTTGGTATACATTATTTGTCAAGTCTCAAGTGTCAAAAGTTTGGATTGACAATTTTGCTTATCTTTTATGGAAAATATACGATGCTTGCTTTATAATAAAGAGTAAAGACTCATTCCTTCACTTGGCTGCATGAAAAACGCTATCACAGCAGATGTTATACAACTATTTATTCTGAACTTTATATATCTTATGCCTCTAAATTATTGTTGTTTTAATTTGACGAATATTTGGTTTGACAGTTGAAGATAATGTTTTGTGTCAGGCAATGGTTGCCAGAGGTGACCTTGGTGCAGAGTTGCCGATTGAGGAGGTTCCTCTGTTGCAGGTATTTTCACATGCCGTTGATTAGCTTGCTTATAGTTTATAACATTGCCAAGCTCTTGTAGTATAACAAAATCAATGTATCTACAAATGTAGGAAGAAATCATCAGAATATGCCGAAGTATGGGAAAAGCAGTGATTGTGGCGACAAATATGCTAGAAAGCATGATAGTACATCCTACTCCTACTCGAGCAGAAGTATCTGATATTGCTATTGCTGTGCGAGAGGGTGCTGATGCAGTTATGCTTTCTGGAGAAACTGCCCATGGAAAGTGAGTATATATTTCGTACAAGATGCATCCTTAAGGCCGAGCCTAACTATTCCTCCCCCCTCCCACAAACAGAACAAATAAATAAATAAAAAGCAGCTATCTTATCTTTAAGATTACGAATAATACCTCTTGAAATTTGTTTGTATTTTGACAAAGGTAAATTACAAAATCTACCCATGAGGTTCAGTCTAAATGCAGAAAATCCGCTTAGCTTTTGAAACTGCAATGACCCTGCTCACTTATGTCGTACAAAACAATTCCTTGAGGGGTCGAATGTAAGCCTCTTTATGAGGTGATCTCGAACCTTTTGGGGTTATTTGTAAAGTT